GGCGCCCACGTGGCTCACCTCCTCTGTGCTGGGAGCAGTGGAATGGCATCCCCGAAGCCCATTCCTCTGTGCTGGAGTGGTGCTACAGCAGCCCGGAAGCCCCTTCCTCTGCACTGGGAGCAGTGGAACAGTGGCCTGGAAGCCCCTTCCTCTGGGCTGGGAGTGGTGGACCGGTGGCCGGGAGGCCCCTTCCTCTGCCCTTGGAGCAGTGCTACGGCCTCCTTTCGCCTTTTCTAACACAGCTTTGCCCTGGCTCTTCCGCTGCCCAGAGCTTGTCCTTCCCAAGTTAAGTGTTACCCAGACTCACTTCCAACCTCAGTCCCATTCTCCCAGGCCTCCCAGGAAAGTCCTCATTAAATCCAATCCACACTGCTGCTCCTAACATGTCACAGTTGAAGTTTACATGTGTGTGAGTGGTTAAGGTCTGGTTTTCCACCAGCCTAGAGCTCAGGAGGGCACTGACTGTTATTTTTATGGAGTCTGTAATTCTGACATCTAGTGCCACTTCTAGCCCGTAGCACTGCTCCAAGAGTGAGTACTGAAAGCATAAACGCTTAAGCACGGGGTCCACACAGGCTCCAGGTAGTTCAGGGTCAGTCCAGCTGAGACTCCTGGTATACTGAACTGCTGCTGTACTACAGCAGTGACATAAGGCCCCAGTGAGGGCCCCAGCATCTCCTCCTCCAAGTGCCAGCTGCCACTTTTCCCAGAGGAACTTACAAAGCTCTAATGTCAGTTTTGTTCTTTATGGGAAATAACACGTGCCACTAGCACTCCTATGAAAAAGAAAGAAAAGCAAAGCAACAACTGCCAGCACTGGTGCTGAGTAAGAAGAGCAAGCAAAGTAGTCTTGTACTTTCCTCTTTCCTGGGGGAAATGCTACAGGTGTATTCCTGAATTTGAAGAGAGGCTCATACTGGGGCCCACATACATATTCTCACTGAAGCCTCTCACCAAACCTGATTTTAGTTTTTGTACAGGTGAGGAAACAGAGCCATGAGACTCAGAGAGTTTGAGGAATTTACCCAGGGTCACACAGGCAGTAATGCAGAGACTGGATTTGAAGCCGCATAATAACACTCACTCCACACCAGCACACTTCCCCGCTGCCTTCACTGCCAGAGCACAGCCTTTGCAGAAATCAAGGCAGATCTGCACTCAGGCAGAAGAGAATCTGTTGTCCCTTTTAGTCTGATACTTCTGATACTTTGAATCAGACTTTACTTGAATTAAGACTTTAATCAGCTGAATAGCCTGCCTTTGGTTTCTTCCCTCACCATGACATGTTCCTTCTTCACACGTTTCTAAAATACAGATTGATCCTCTCTGCCCCAGGTTCACATGAGTCCAGTGGCTTGGCTTCTCTCTGCTTACAAGAACCCAGTCTTGGGACCCAGGGTTTAGCTCAGTGGTGCCGCCGCCTGCCTCACAAGCACAAGGTCCTGAGTTCGATCCCTGGTACCAAAAAATAAAGAACCCGGTCTGAAGATGTATCTCAATGCCAGTGCACTTGCCTCACAACCACCAGGCCCTGGGTGGGAAACCCTAGTTCCACGAAATAATAAGAACACGAGAAACCACTCAGCCTGGCACGTATAGTCCCGTGATCCGGCCCCTCTCTGTCCTCATCCCCACCTTCCACCGCCTCCCCTTAGGACTCCTGTGCAGTCTCCTCGCAAGCTAAGCGCTGGCCTCTGCCCTTTCCAGATGTGATCCCCCCTTCCTAACGTCCTGTTCATCCATGGAAGCCAGGCCAAGGTGGGGTCAAATAGCATATAAAGTGACAGTGAGTGTCACTTTTTGTATGGGAGTGTGTGGTATTGGGCATTGAGCCCAGGGCCTTCCAACTGAAGGCCCATTTTTTAATTTTGAGACAGGGACTTGGCCGAGCTGTCCAGGATAGGTTTGAACTTGTGATGCTCCTGCCTCAGCCTCTCAAAGTGCTGGGATTATAGTTATATACCACCATACTTGGCTGAGTATTGCTATTATTTTAAAAATTATTCCACATATTATTAAAGTATACAGTAGTCAAGTAAGTCTGGAGAAAAGATTAATTGGAAAGGACTCCTCAGCCTTTAGTAAACATGTGATTGATAAGTAGGAGACTCAAGTTCAGTTTCATATTAGGAGAGAATACTTAGTATCTCCCCTAGTGTCTTGTTTGCAACAATTCCAAATCTACCAGAAGGCCTTTGCAGCAGTTTCCTCAACGTGTAACAAATGCTACTTTGTATATTCATCTCTTCATGTTTAATTATAAGGATTTGAATTTGCAGCACCAATTAATCAGTAATTAGATAGTACTGTACTAGAAGAAATTAAACAGATAAAAACAAAAACACAGCTCAGCACAAGGCGATATCATCTGTATCATTTCATGTAGCATGATTAAAATACTCCCTGTATTTCTCCCTGAGAAATGTAGGTTAACTGGGTCATTAGCCATGCATTCCTTTGATGTCATTGTTGACCTCCAATACCAATGGGAAACTTTAAAGTTAATCCAGATACAGAAACACTCTGATTATACTAATGTTTGTTCTTCTTTTCATTCTTCATTGGAAATCTGCTTCATGATACTCAGTAGTATTAATTTTGAAATGCAGTAAGTAGTAGGTTTGGCAGTGCAAAATAAATGCATATTTTATAATGATGTATTCTCTGTTGATCTTCATATTTTTTAAGAAACATATAAACCAGCCTTTGAATTAATTTATCAATTAGACTTCTAAAACAAAATGTTCACCTTAGGTGTGGAAAAAAGAAACAAAAAAGGCGCAAGGCAAATAAGGGAGATGGGGGGAAGTCGTGCCTGCAGTGAGTCCCTCTAGGCATCAGGGAGGCCGAGGGGACTGCTCCCTGCAGAGTCCAGTCATTCTGCTGTGCCAGCTGCATGGGCCTCTCAGCCTGGTCTCTAAGCCTTCTGTCAGTAAGAGGAAAAGAAAACTGATAGTTGGAAAAAGAAGTCAGCAGCTCCCGTGATTCGGTCTTGGAAGAAATGACAGCAGGGCTGCCCACATGTGATCCACACAGGCAGAACCCCAGGGCCCAGACAGCATCTGTCCCGCCAGGCTTTCTCCTTCTGGGCCCCCAGCTTATCCCTTCCCTCTGTGACCATGAGTACATGGGGAAATTAAAGCAAGAAAATTATTTCCGGGTGCTTTGCATTCTTTCTTTGGTGCTATTTTAAGAGGTTTCATTTCTGAGGGAAACTGGTATCACCTGTACTTCCAAGTATGGGGCTCTTGTAAAAGGGGACTATTGTAAAATCTTTAAATGGTATGCCAAGTGAATGAGCAGGAGTTGTATATGAAATTGTCTTAAAAAGTCCATGGAGAGAATTTCACTGTGCACTCTCAAGCTTGCTTTATAGAAGTATTTTTAATTACCAGTCTCTGAAATGAGTAATTTGTCTTTTGGTGGAACAGTTTGCTAAGAAATAGCATAAAGAGATTTGAAAAGAATTATAGAAGAAAATGTCAAAGATTTCAGACTTTTGGTACCTAGGACTGAAAGAGCAACCTTTGCTGAGTAACTTGGTATCATGGTGGACACTGGAGAGCCAAGCTGTAATCATTTTTGTGGCTTCATGATGAAATTCAGTATCCTCCCAAAACTGGGAACCATTTGTTTTTGTTTTCCAGTTTAAAAAATTTCTTTCCGCCACTATGTTGTGAAGCAGTGCTGTGAAGTTTCTAACTTTCAGAATTCATTTATTTTACAAATTATAGAGTGCACCTGTGAATGAAAGCCACATTTGTCAAAGTGACAATTCATTTGTGGATATGTGTTATTAATCCTCTATTGGGCTTCTTCGACTATTCCCTAATTGGAAAACGCTCATCTCTCGGGAGGTGGTACAATTTATTTGATGAGCATACTACATAAATTTTTGCCTCTCAACTTTAACTTCTTTATTGAAATAAGTTTAAGCAAGCTGATTTCAGCCACCATGATCATTATCTTAAGGACCTTTATTCTGGCCAAAATGAATGAACCAGAGCAACGTCTTTGCCACAATAAATTAGCATCAGTCCCTCTCACTTTAACAACATGATAACTATGCCTGTGTCCTACTCTTCGTCTAGTAGGATGCAGAAAAGAAAAAAACAAAACTGGAGTCTACACACCCCTAGTCACAGTTCTCCTGCAGTCTCTCTCATCTCAGTAAATGGCTCTAGCCCATGATACCTGAACCTCAGTTCTTCACTCATCTCCCCACCCAGTGCCTCAGCTGGCCCAAGTCAACTCGCACTGCCCCTACCCTGGTCCAAGACACTGCTGCTCTCTCTTCTCTGGACTCCTAGCAGTTATCTCCTAGCTGGCTACTCTTTTCTATTCTGCTTTCCCTAAGATCCATTATCCATATGGCAGCTTGAATATTTTGTTATAAAGATCAGTCATGCCATGTCACTAGACCTGCTGAAACCCTTCCGTTACTTTCTATTCCACTTAGATTAAAATTGAAACACTTTCCCTGGCCACAGGACCCCCTATGTCCAGCCTCGCACTGTTGTTCCCTCTTCAAATATCCCATGTGCATTTCTGCTGCCTCACCCTCTGTATGGGCTGCTGCTGCTGTTTGGGGTGCACTTCCCACACCTGAGACCAGCTCTCCTGCCTTCACTCTTCACCTCAGATGTCACCTCCTCAGGAAGACATTTCCTGGCCCCCTGATGTGCAGCCCCCCACAGTCACTAACATGTCCACCTGTCCATGCCCTTCATCAAGAACCTTGTTTGCATGGCGTCTTGCCCATCAGCACACTCAGTCACAGTGGTTAGGGGAACATTGAATGAGGGAATCCTTTTCCTGATATGTATGGCTTTGACTGAACAACTTACACTCTTCACTTCAGGCTCCTCTTCTATAAAACAAAGCCAGCAGAGCATTAGATCTCGATGGGGATGAGTTAAAAAAGCAAATGTGTGGTGGCATATGGTACCTTGCCCTGCCCCGAGTGAACATGGTTAACAGTGCTGCTGCTTCTTTTACAGAAAGTCTTCAGAGGAACTAGATATGGACAAGGTGACAGCAGCAATGGTACTAACCAGCTTGTCAACCAGCCCGTTGGTTCGAAGCCCTCCTGTGCGGCCAAATGGTAAATGTGGGATATGGGTGTGGGAAGGGCCCTTGACACCAAGAACAGGGCCTCTCTTTGGGTTTGAGGAGCCTCATTTCTTCAGACGAACAGTTAGCCTTGAAGCAGGGGGAAGTGTGGGAGAAATGGAGGCATCAAGGCTGCCAGCCTCCTCCAGATCTTTCCAGAGATTCTCCTGTGTCTCATTTACCTGTCCATTCAGTTCAGATTTATTGAGTTCTGTCCATGTTTTCTGCCATTCCAAACACATCCTTGCAGTGTTTGTGTTCCTTTTTCCCAAGTAAATGGAAATTGGTCTGATAAAGTTATTTTCCCTAGCATTTTTACTTTTTGATTGGGGAGGTAGTTAACTCACTGAGTAAAACTTTTTTAAAAGCATTAGCCAAGGCTCCTTAATCGAGAAGAATTATTTAATCCACCCATTAACTTAATATATATATTTAGTAGGTACTGTCTAGATGATTTGCATGCAGCACTGGAAAACAGTATCTATATACCCAGGTAGTACCCAGTCTTGTGGCTCATCCCCGAGACACAATGCCTGACCCCTACAACGTAGAGGAGAGAGGTTTACTGTGTTCACGTTCTCAGTGCACAGTCACTGGCTTCAAGGCGGGAAGGCTGTGGTGGAAAGGTCAGGCAGAGGAGTGCTGCTCCTGTCTTGGTGACCAGGAAGCAGAGAGAGGGGGGAGAAGGCACAGAGGGAGGTACAGCCTTCCAGGTCACCCCCAGCACCCCGCCTCCTAACCGCACATTCAGCTCTGACCCATCTGTGGGTCAATGCACTGATGAGTACAGCGCCCCCATGATCTAATCACCTTCCAAGAGCCTCGCCTCTGAACGCTGAGGCCTTTGGGGGACATTCTAGATCTAAACCATACCATTCTATAAGAGAAAAAAAAGACAGTCAGTCATGGTCATATTACTGGCTAGCACTTGTTGAACATTTACTATTTGTCAAGTACTATACTTACTTTATCTGATGTAATTCCCCCAACAACTTTGTAAGAGGTTATCACTACATTACAGATGAATAAACCAAGGTGCATAGGAATTAACTGACTTGTAAGTGGCAGAGCTGAAAGTCCAGTCCATATCTTTCTGTTTCCATATCTGCTGTCTTCATCATGATATAACATTGCTTCATATAATTCAGTCTGGTAAGTCAAGAGAGCAGGCAGTGGGAGATGATGTTGGACAGATAAAGCAGGAGCTTTACCACGATGGGCCATGTATTCCTGGCTAGGAGTCTAGACTTTATTCTGAGACTGTCTAAGAGCTATTAAGGTGATCAGGTAGCAGAAAGTTAGTACAGTGTTAAGGTGACAGGCAGAACAAACAAACCCAAACCACATGGATGGTCTGATCTGTGGTGGTCACCGTGAGGCTGCACAGACACAAGTGAGAAAGATGAAGATGGCAGAAGCAGCAGAGTCCGGTGATGGACAAAGAGGATGAAGGAGAACAGGGTGTGTCAAGTCTTAAGTTCCAGGCAGTTGATGTACTCAGCGAGGTTCAGGGAACAAAGGCAGAGGAATAGATGTACTGGTAAATATTTGGGCCCTGAATGAGATTTACCAGAAATGGGAAACCTTTTCTCCAACACCAGAATGGCCCATTGTTCCCAGCTGAGCTATGGTTCACACACAATTTGGTTAAGAATATGAAGAATTAGAATAAATTTGTGCAGTATCCAGTGAGTCCTCATCCAAACCTACTCCAACCCCATTAGATGTAGAAAGAACCATCAAGATGCTAGGAATTTAAATCAGTGCCAGTAATCAGCAGTGCCCAGCAGCTTGATTCCCCATGAGCTGTGGTGCTGTTCCCCTGCCCACTCTCCAGCTCCACAGGGGCTCGGGTTCCTTGCAATGAGGCTGGCTCCTCCTGGACAGTAGCCAAACCCTCTCCAGGAACTGCTCGGCAAGGGGGCTACCTGCTTTACCTTTCTCAGTGTGGCAGTACCACTAACAAAGGAGTACAGTAAAACCAAAACATATTCTAGAAAAAAGGTGGACTTGTTAGAGGAAAAAAAGACATATTTTTAATTAAGCTAATCATTATTTGTACCACTGGATTCTCTTTTTTTAATTGAAAACCTTTTTAATGTTCTTTTGTATTTAAAGGTTAGAATTAAAATAAAACCTAATCTTTCAATGTAAACTTTTGTTAGCATAGTAATAGAGTAATTCAGTGTTCATTTGTGGTTTAAAAAAATAACTACTCAGGGCTCGGGGATTTAGCTCAGTGGTTCCGCTGCCTGCTGCACAAGCGCAAGGACCCAAGTTTGATCCCTGGTACCAGAAAAAAAAAAAAGTGATGAAAAATAACTACTCAACTAATAACCCCAAATTGTCTGATACATCATTTAGTGTACAATAGGAAACAAATTTTTAAATAACAAAAGCAGTTTATGACAATGAAGCATTCATATTTTTAGGAGTAAAATATGTTCTCCAGAGTACGTTTGAGGAAACTGTTGTGATCCCTTTCCATGCCTGACAAGGCTTCTTCCATCAGGAGGGGCCTTCCAAGAGCCGGGGCCTGCAGTGCCTCTGCACACTTGGCAACTATTTGTGTAAGATAAGCAGACACCGCACCCAAAGAACTGCTACAAATCAGTCCTAACTTTTTTCTGAAAATTTCATTTTTATATATCACTTTGTCCTTCAGATTAAATAGTGTTTCAGGAAATACCATTCACAAATTGGGAAGCAAATCCACTTTTGACATTGCTGTGCAGTGATGTAACCACATGGTAACAATGGTTCCCAAAGTAAATTCATTTCCTCCTCTATAATGTGATCACCTTGCTAGCATCACACTCTTGACTTTGTTGTACAGCCACATGCCGAGGTCTGTAAGCCTCCTGGGCCTGCCGATGGAGGTTTTCCCACTAAGGAACAGCTCACATGGCCTTCTGGCCTGCCATGAGGCCTCTGTGGAAGTCCTGTGATACTGAATGGGGCTTCCTTGTTTCTGAGAGGCAGCTCCACTCCATCGGGTGTCAGGCTGTGGGCTGGAGGAGTAGGATGCTGACTTGGCTCTGGATGCTGGGAAGGTGTGACCCTGCATAAATAACTGCTTGATTCTGGCAGAACCTTGCTGTAATGAATGGGTAACTTCTCCTGATTCAATTTAAACCTTCACACCTTTAAACTTTTGTTTCACCTAGTTGAGGAATATACTAGAAATCTATAATTAGGGAAGGTAGTTAGAAAATTTTCCCATGAATGTTAGTCTTCACTTCATTATTAATTACACAGACATTGACAGTATTTTTTTAATGAGGTATTTTGGGACTTTTTTCTTCCTTGTAGTCAGAGTAACATTTTAATATATTCCAAATGCACATAAATATGGAGGAGAAATTATCCAGAAGGAAAGTCGAATTTATACAAATGCTAATTAAATGTGGGCATCAAGGTAAAGCAAATCTTCAGTGATTAAAAGAGACTCCCCCCAAGACATTCTAACTGGACAGAAATCTCTCCACATTAGCAAACATTTCCCATAGTGTTTTCCACCGCAAGTAGAAAGGGAAGACTGAACACCAATCTTATCAGTAATTATTGCCAATAAATTCTTAACCAATCTCAGCCAGAAAGAATACAGAATTCTCATCACAGGGACCCTGTGCCCGGGAACGAGATCACTTACCGGTCACCTGGCAGGACATTTAACTTCCTGCCGCTTCAGGGTGCTGGACGGTTAGAGGGGGTGGTAGTCTTTCCTCTGCAAGAAGGATGTCGCACCAGTGCTTGGCACTGCGCGAGGGAGCGCGTCTGGATGTGAAACACTCACAGCGTGTAGGGCCCTTTGGTTGTTTTAGTAAGCAGCTTGGAAAATGGCTTTAGATAACTATCCCGAAAGTATTATTTCTTTTAGAGTCTTAAATCCTTAGCTTCTCATACATGTATTCCAAGAATCAAGTAGCTCCTATTTTTAAAAGTTGAAGTTGGGATTGGGAGCGAGAACACCCAATGACCAAATCATCTGGGAGGAGACTGCAAACAATAATCTCTCTCTCAGAAACCCTGCAGTCAGTAACTCGTGGCTCAGAGCTCCCCAAACTCTGACCAAGAGAATCGACTCGTTTTGTTACAATCTTCACAACCCTTCCTGCACAGTAGAGCACACAGCAGTAGAGCACTCAGATAAACCTGTCTCCCTGTGCTTAAAAGAACGAAATGCTTAGGCCCTGCAGTGTGATCCGGGAGGGACTGGGCATAGGATAAAAATGCACACACTTGTTCAGCTGTAGCAAACTACTGAGTGGGACGGGACGCGGGGGCTGCACTCGGGGACCTGACGCTGTGTCTGTCGTGCACGCAGAGGGCCTCAGCGGGTCCTGGAAGGAGGCGGGGTGCGTGCCGTCCAGTACAAGCAGCAGCGGCTACTGGAGCTGGAGCGCACCCAGCGACCAGTCCAACCCCTCCACGCCGTCGCCGCCGCTGTCGGCCGACAGCTTCAAGCCCTTCCGCAGCCCCGCGCAGCCGGACGATGGCATCGACGAGGCGGAGGCCGGCAACCTGCTCTTCGACGAGCCCATTCCCAGGAAAAGAAAGGTGGGTGTGTGCGCCCGGCCCCCGAACAGAAGAAATCTACGTCTCCCTTTAAGAGTCGTGAAGTTTCCAAACTGTCTGGATTAAAGACATAAAAATAATGAAAACACTGATACATCTCATCCCCATCCACAACACATGTCCCCGCCTCTAGTGACAAATCACCCAATCTAGGCCTTCCCAATGGAACTTTATTTTTTTATATGTAAAATATGATGTCTTTCTCTTTTCTACCTCAGTCAGCTCTGAAGGGCTGTTGGGAAGAATACTTTGTATCTCATATTCATGCAGCCAGTTGTGAAGTACACATGAAAGTTGACACATAGACATATGTACATACTTACATACAGATAATTAAATATTAAAAGGAACATTGAATTGGTTGGTTTGGTTTGGTTTTGGGGGGATGGGGGTTTGGTACCAGGGATAGAACTCAGGACCTTGCACTTGCAAGGCAGGTGGAGACACCACTGAGCTAAATCCCCAGCCCAGAATTGGTTGATTTTTAAAATTCACTAATTACACTTTATTTAGTCCACAACAGTGCTGTATGGAAAGCATCATATGGAAATCGAGGGTCCATTTAACTGACCCTGCCACCCAAACCCAGGTTTTCCTGAACCTAAAGCTTGTCTTATTTTCATTCTCTTCAGGCAGTTTAATTTATTATCCTCACTTGCAGTTTTTTAAAAGCATTACTAAAAAACAATTACATAAAAAACAATACTATCACTAAATCTAGAGAAAAATTGATGCTTTTAAATCATCATGTAAAGATGAAACTGTAGATTATGTGCTGGCCTTTAAATTTTATACTGGTAGCATCACTATTCATGACTGTTGACAAAAATCTGCAGCCAAGCCTTGAGGACTGCAGTGCAAGCTTTTTCTCCCTGACTTGTTTCAGAGAGGAAGACAAAGGCAGGGCATGGGTCCTCCCTCTTCCCTCTTGCATCTCTGAGCATCCCTCAGCATGTGCAACAGTGGAAGTGGTACAGGTGCTGTCCTTGGGTACGTTCGTGTAAATAACCATAAGCCAGTTTGTTCTTACCTGGAGGAAAGGACATTATAGTGCAGCCTCCTGTCCTTCCCAGAGGCAGTTGAAGAGTTACTGTTTCCCACCAGTCCGTCCATCAGGTGGGTGGCATAGCTCTGACATCCTGTGGGTCCCGGGGACCCTGGACCTTGCCTGATCAGTCAGGAAGGGTGCTGGCCCTTGCGTGGGTGTGTGCCTGCAGCAGACCAGCACCTTGGAGCTGAAGTCCCTTGGCTTCCAGCTGCGCAGGTTTCTCCATTGTGTTGTGAGTGTATCATCCTAACTCTCCCCAGTGGGCCCAGAGGCGTGGTGAGGCCACACGGCACAGCAAACCACCAGTGCTTTCAAGGTGGGTTTCTGGAAGCCTGGCATGGACTTACGTTTCTAATGTGGCTGCTGAGCAAAGCTCATAGTTTTGCACTGCAGTTAGGTCACATTGATCAGACTCATACTGAAGGGCTTCAGGCTTCAAGGAAGTTAGGGATACCAAAGGAAATAGGTCACCAAAGGAAAAGGAAAAAAGCTTCCTACAAAATGACCTCAGATGAGGGGACAGGCAACTCAGCAAGGTGCTGGAGACCAGGTGTGCATGAACGAGTTAGAACCCTGTGTAGCTTCCTGTCTTCATCACTTCTCCCCCAGTTCAGACTTGCATTTCCCCAGGGTGAAGCACAGAGCCACTGCGCTTCACCCTGTCTATCACACAGATTTTACATACATTGTCACTTCAGTCCTTTGAACTTAAAAGTACTCTGAATAATGAAAATAACAAGAAAATAGGACTGTTGCTATTCTTTTTTTTTTAATCTAGTAACCCAATACTTACTGAACACCTACCAGGCAAAATGCTTAATGGAGAATAAGGAGTAGCCCCTAACCTCCAGTGATGAAACCCGGGTGGGTAGAGATTGATGTGTAAAGAAGTGATCATAATTATGAGTGATACACACTGTCTCCAAGATGTGGTAGAACACAGTAACTACACTAATTACTTAAGAGATTTTAAATCATGTGTTAAAAGATTTGTAAGAGTTAATTTGCCTGCACTACAGAATATTTTCTAGCTGGTGGAACTTTCTGAGTTCATTTTATTTTCATATTCATTCTCTTAGACGCATGGTATCCATGCACTAAACCAGGTTAGTTGTAATGATGGTTTGTCTTATGGAGATTGAGAACTTTCTAGATCATGTTCTTCCAAACTGCAAATCTTAATCCATTAATGGGCTGTGAATCAATTTAATGAACAGCACTGTTTAATTAATAGAACAGAATAGAATGTACTGCACTTAAGGGTATTGTCTCTTGATGTTTTCATTTCAGTTGTATATTTATGTCAAAATGTATACTGTACAAACTGTATCTCTTATGGAGGCCCGTTGTCAGAAAGGTTTGGAAGCCCTGTGTTCTACAGAGATAATATAAGATATGATAAATTAAGGTGCCCTGGTCAGAATCAAAAAATCCGCATTCTAAACTCAACTCTGGTACCCTCGGGACCTAAGAAATCATGTCATAGCCAGGTGTAATGATGGATGCCTGTAATTGAAGCACTCTGGGAGGCTGAGGCAGCAGGGTTGCAAGTCTGAGGTCAGCCTGGGCAACTTAGCAACGTAGAGCCTTATGAAAATTTTAAAAAGAAAAATAAAACAAAACAAAAAAGAGCTGGGGATGGAGGACAGTTTGAAAGTCTTGGTCCAATCCTCACTGTGGGATGAGAAGAGAGGAGGGAGCGGAGGGGAGTGTCATCTCACCTCGCCTCTTTGACCATTGGCCTGTTCCTCTGTAAAGTAGACAAACGGGGGTTACCGCACTCTTAGGACAACCACGAAGGTAAATGTGATCCTATGTACTAGAACGCAACAACATTTTAACAGGTATTTCAGGACTTCTAAACAGAGTGGGTGAAAGCATTCCTGAGTCTGAGTGTGCTCTCTTCTACTTCTCCCCCTAAACAAATGCTGGCTGCCACCTCTTCGGAGATCTGTGTTCCACTCGTGCAGAGAAGTCAAGAGAATGAGCTGCAATCTTGCAGGCAGGCATTATCTCTTATGTGAGTGGTGAGGGAATATTTCCTGATAATCACTGTATTTTGCATGTTTAGTTACAGGGGAAATGCTTTTAACTGCAGCATTTCATTTTGTCACCCCTAGACCTTTGGTCTGCCCTTATCCTGTGTTCCAGCAGAGGCTCACAGAGGTTAGGGGAATTGTCCAAGGTTGTGTAGCTTATAATGTAGCGAGAACAATATTGGCTTAGCTGAAATAACAAAAATGAAACTTTGAAGCAAATTAATTCAAAGAATCCACATTTCCCTCTGTCCAAAGAGGAGAATAATGTGGAGGGAAAATAATCAGATACGGCTACAGCGAACATTACATGGCAAAATGGGAGCAGGGTGCAGAAAACTCAGCAAAAATAATTGAGGGTGGAGAGAGAAATCGGGCTGCCTGCTTGGGAGCTGAGCTGCAGGAAGCATCTGTCCCTAGTAAGATAGGCCTGCAGCCCAGGTAGGTGAGAATTTGTGAAGGGAAACGAAGGCTGCTCCCTCCTGGCACCACAGGTCAGCCAGCCACATGTGTCAAGGCCAGATCCGGCAGAAATTTTCCATTGTGATTCCAGGATAACCGACAACTTCGGCACTCAGAGAAAACGGGCAGTGTGAGCTAGGAATCTGGGGAGGTGCAGTTCCTGTTCTGACCACAAGGTGACACAGTGGCCCTAAATACGGCCACTCAGCTGCTCAGGGAGAAAACAAATGCTATGGAAGACCGAGAGTTAACTGTCTATTCCACAAGACCCCTGGAACACCGGAAGTGCTGATGAGTCATTATTCATGTGTTCTTTTTCATGCCAGATTACCGATTCTGTTAAGATTCTGGGCTCTGTGCACTGTGAAATTGGCATGCCAGTTCAAATATTTGTATGACCTTAAGCAAATCACCTGACCTCTGGCCTCAGTTTCCTCATCTGTAAACCACGCAGAATGATGGCACTGTGTCGATGGAGCTGCTGTGAAGATGAGAGAGGACTTGGGAAGAGCCATAGAGATCAGCCACTATGACTGTGTTTGCCTTTTACCCATTTGACAACTGACGGAGTGGGAAATCCTCCATCCTGATCCCACTTTGACTAGATGATTCTGGGCCACCCTGTGGTCCCTGAGCACACCACCACCACCATGTGCTGAGTGAGGGCAGCAACCTCAGAGACAGGAGTTGGGGATCTACAAGGAAACCTGACTCAGGATGCTGCATTTCAGAGCATCGACAGCACCAGACTTCATCAGGCTCATCTCTTTCCCAGGTGTCGTGACCATGAACAAGTTCACCTGTGCACCAGGGGCAAATCTCCAGTCAGAGTAGGGAGTGCTGGGTTAACATACAGTGCCCCGGTAATAGCTGCAGAGTGTAAACAGCAGATTCGTCCTTTGCTGCGCTGTGCATTTTCAATCTCTGGGAACCAAAAGGCAGTGAATCACTTTGAATTGTGGATGACTGATAACACAAAGAAAACAGACCCATAAAGCCCTCGTGAACAAGTATGTTGCCAGTCTCCACTGAGCTAATTCCTGACCCACTAATTTTGATTGGAGAGTGCCTCCTGCAAGGATTGCTGCTCCAGAAATAGACCAGCTGTCAGAGTGCTGGGGAAGGTGGAGCTCGGCGAGCAGCTCTGGGTCAACCGAGATTTCTGTGGGACGACAGCACCGTCAGCCAGGGAAGGGGAGCTGACTGGCTCCATGGAGAGGACCACAGGCAAAGAAGGGGGATATAGGCAATTTAGCGACAGGGTCTTAGAATAAGCAGCCATGCAGGGTATAGGATTGCGGTATTGGAGTTGCAAGGACTTTGGACATCATCTAGTCCAGTCTCAACCTTCTTCCATGTTAAAGGACCACTCAGATGCATCTGGAAAGGATCAGGTACCCCAAGAAGAGAGACACATGTCTAGAATCAATTGAGAA